GCCAGGATGCCATTGGCCCTCTTGGCCACCTGAGCACACTGCTGGCTCATGTTCAGGCGGCTGTCAACCAACACCCCCAGGTCCTTTACCGCCAGGCAGCTCTCCAGCCACTCCTCCCCAAGCCTGTAGCATTCCACGGGGTTGTTGTGACCCAAGTGCAGGACCCAGCACTTAGCCTTGTTGAATCTCATGACGTTGGCCCCAGACCATCAGTCCAGCCTGTCCAGGTACCTCTGCAGGGCCTTCCTACCCTCCAGCAGATCGACACTTCCACCCAACTTGGTGTCGTCTGCAAACTTACTGAGGGTGCACTCGATCCCCTCATCCAGATCATCAATGAAGATGTTGAACAGGACCGGCCCCAGTACTGAGCCCTGAGGAACACCACTCGTGACCGGCCGCCAACTGGATATATATAATGCTTTATTCCTTAACTGCTTTCCAGAAAGGGAAGAAAAGTTACCATCTGCTTAATGATGCTCCCTCAAGTCAATAAGCACCTGGAAAAGTCTGTGCTCTCCCACACAGACTAACAATTCAGCACACCATTTTGGTACACTCCCCATGCTGGGATTGTAGAAGTGAACTCCGTGGATGTTTTTAAGGTACCTTGCAACAGTTCCTAGTAGCACTAACTTGGATTCAGCACTAGAAAACCATGCAACACAGAACAAGCAGGCAATTCGTCCTCCAGCATTAATAATCAAGATGTAAAGTACCTTGGAAGTTCAAATTTGCAAGTTCAGCTCTTTGGAACAAAAAGTTCCACTTTGACTGTTTTCCTTCCACTGGAATAGAAAGGCCTTTATAAAGGTCAGTTTTAGCCCCCTTCTGACTCCCTTCTACATAAAGCCATCCTTATTACAAAGCAGACGAAGCTGGTCCAGATGAGCTTCCATTTACAGTTAACTGCATTCAAATGAGAAACAACTGATTCAGTATAAATTTAGAAGAGCACAAAATATTATCTCTGCACTGCAGAATATCATCAAAACATGCAAGTGTGGTACATCCCTTTGTAGTT